AACATAAACTACAAACTCTAGTTACTATAGTGAACACTGTCAATAGCAATAGGCAATACATTGTGGCATTATCATTAGATCAAGTGTAATATCAATGATCAAATACGTACTTATAGCAAACAAAATAAATAATTAAACAAATATACTGATTTTCTAAAAGGAAAACTAATAATAATACTTCTAATACATTAGCATTAGTAATTAGTCAATAAATATTTTTTAGTATAATTAGTACATAACTGATGTAGGCTTACGTAGAGTTAGCTTTTTCTGTTGTTGAGTAAGCATTAGATTTGATAAGTTTAATAACAATAAAAGTTTGTTGTTTTCTTAATAGTTTCTAAAAAACACCCTTTAAAACATAACCAATACTATATTCTAAAAAAATATTTTTTTGATATACTAGGTTGGTTGAAAAGTTCGCGGAGCGGAAATGAAAAAACAATTTTATGATTCAAAAAATGACTTTATTTTTCAGTATATTCTCCCTTAAGAGCAATACACTTTTTCCAACGATTCTCCAATTCATGTATCCCATCTCTGAAGTGCGATTCCGGAAGGCCTTCAAAATACCCATTTACGGCTGCAATGACTTCTTCATGTGATGAGAAACGCTTTCCACGTAGAAATTTTTTGAGATGTGGAAAGAGGTGGAAGTCGGACGGAGCCAGATCTGGTGAATAGGGTGGATGTTCCAAGCGTTCGTACTTTAATTCGACCAATTTCGCCTTTGCAACATCGCTGATATGAGCAGGTGCGTTGTCCTGGTAATAAATGATTTTTTATGCAGCAAACCAGGTCTTTTCTCACGAATTTTTTTATCCAACTGGTCCAAAAGATTTTTATAATATTCACCTGTTATCGTTTTACCGGTTTGAAGGTAATCTATTAATAAAATTCGCATCCCAAAAAACTGATGCCATAACCTTCTTTGACGATTTTGACGCCTTCACTTGCTTCGGAGCTGAACAACCGGGTTCTGTCCACTCTGCAGTTTGTTGTCGCAGCTTCGGATCATAGTGGTAAACCCAAGTCTCATCCATGGTTACGAATCGACGCACAAAATCTGTTTTATTCTTTTGAAAACGGGTTAAATGTTCTTGAGAAAGTTTTACTCGAGTGCGTTTCTGATCCAGAGTTAGCGAATGCGGCACCCATCTTGCCAACAGCTTTCTCAGACGTAATTCATCGTGCAAGATGTGTAATACCCGTTCATCTGAGATGCCCACAGCCTCAGCAATTTCACGTTTGGTCAATCGTCTATCATCCATAACCATGTCATGCACAGCATTAATCGTTTCTTCAGTAGTAGCACTTTTTGGACGTCCAGAGCGAGGGTCATCTTCAAGGCTTGAACGCCCACGTTGAAACTCCGCAGCCCATTTGCATACTGTTGTTTTTGAAGGAGCATCATCACCCAACACATTTACCATTTCATTATGAATTTCCATGGGCTTTAAACCTTTTTTCACAAAGAATTTTATTACAGCACGATGTTCAATATTTTCCATTTTAAAAAATACTATGACACGTCTAATTTCAATAGCTTGTAAACAAAGACTGAAATGACATATCGACTTGAAATTTTTTATGCGTTCATACGAAGAATGAATACGTTTAATACAGTTATAAATTTGTTTCTACTACTGCAACATAGGTGCCGCTCCGCGAACTTTTCAACCAACCTAGTATATATATATATATATATATATATATATATGTGTGTATATAGAATATGTTAAAACAGGCCATGTAAGCAAAACTGCGAAAACAACAAAGCTAAGTTGATACAATCTTTACAATAATATATATATATATATATATATATATATATATATATATATATATATATATATATATATATATATATATATATATATGTATATATATATATATATATATATATATATATATATATATGTATATATATATATATATATAAATATATATATATATATATATATATATATATATATATACATATATATATATATATATATATATATATATATATATATATATATATAATATATATATATATATATATATATATATATATATATATATATATATATATATAAGATGTGTGTACGGTGTATATAAAATCCCCGGATGGAAGAACTTTTTGTGTTGTGTACCAAGAGACTCTGCGGGTTTTTTTTTTATAGTACCGAGGATTGAGAATTTTTAGTCAAGTAATTGATTTTTGGAGGGTGGTTTTTCTTTGTACACCTGCAACTTTGATTATATATATATATATATATATATATATATATATATATATATATATATATATATATATATATATATATATATATATATATATATATATATATATGTATATATATATATATATATATATATATATATATATATATATATATATGTATATATATATATATATATATATACATATATATATATATATATATATATATATATATATATATATATATATATATACATATATATATATATATATATATATATATATATATATATATATATATATATATATATATATATATATATATATATATATATATATATGTGTGTATATATATATATATATATATATATATATATATATATATATATATATATATATATATATATATACACAATACTCATTTGAATATAACAATGTCCCTTTACCAAGTTGACCACCACAAAATAAAAGAACCAAAATTGAATTAGTTACTACCAAAAAACAATATTTCCCTACCCGTTCACCGCAGAAACATGCAAAGAGCAATTCGCAAATGACGTGTTCACCTCAGCAACCTGGTAAAAACTCGCTTTTATTATTGCTAAGCCATGTTTTGACACGTGAGTTTGTTAGAACAATTGTTAAACGCTTTTTTCTACATCTTTTTGATCCTAACCTTGATCTTAAAATGAATTTTTAAAAACTAATGGAGTGAATGGGTCATGGTCAGAGATTTTATTTGCTACAAGTGGATCTTTTATACCTATGTCTAGCTGATTAGCTATCTGAATAAGTTTTTAAACCTTTTGGTGGTTCTAGTTAAACTAAATACGGTTGGCCAGTGGCCGAACTTCAAAATTTGGGTTCCCCCGCAAAAGAATGTTTTTTTTGCGGAAAAGAGTTTTATACTATAAATATTATTGAGAGTATAACTTTTTTTATATGAGGGCCACCTATAGCTGGTAGGCCCCCCCGCAACGCAGGGTCCTGCGTAGTAGTTCCGCCACTGCGGTTGGCAGATTTCTTTATTTGAATCAGAGTGTAAAATTTGGGAGATTGATCACATAATTAGTACAATAATCAGCATCAGTGGAAATATCAGGATTTAATGGTTAATTACCCATTGCAGCAAAACCACTCATAATATTTGTGGGAGATACAGTTTGTGGTGTCGTACTTTTGAACGACATTATATAACATTAACAAAGAGTTTGAATGAGCGGTTTAAAAAACAATGCGTGCAGTTGAGGCAAACGTGAACATCTATCATCATTTATTTTGTAACAAATAACCTCTTCTATGTTACTAGAAAAACACCTGTAATATTACCCAATAGCGTAAGAATTTTATGAAGGTCTTTTAAAGATTACGTTTCTCAAATGAATAAAAAACATCATAAATGTATATTCAGAATACAAAAAAATAATTTCAGTTTAGAAAAAGAAAAATTCTAAGTATGTGCAAATCAACCTTTAAATATAAAAAAACACAAACAAACAAATAACTTTTTTCTACGCGCTAAAAGAAGATGGAAATAACTGTGAAAATGTCTTTTTTAAATGAAGTTTCTATTGCACAATTTAAAAATTCTAAACCTTATCTACGTTTTTAGTAATAAACTTTGTGACAACCAACCCGCTTGACAACCAACCCCGCTTTTTCCTAATACAGAAGAGTATATAGGAAGTAATACAGAGGTATAACAAAGTACATATACAAGCACAGTTGTATATAAAATTTTAACACATTAGTTTGCAATACATTTTATAAAGTATGGTACTTTATGTAACGTATTATGTGGTATATTATTGCATCCACTATATATTAAATATTAAAAACTTATCATTATATATTTTTATAGTTTATTTTTTAAAAAGTTGAAAGAAATTGACAGATCAAAATTATTTAAATTATTTTTTTTCGAAATATGGTTTATGATATCCAGTACTATATTTAAAAGTACATGTTGTATGAAAAATGATTTTCATACAAAGTACACTTTGTATAAAAAATTCATTTGAAAAATTAACATTTTCCAAAAATATTTATATTAACTTTTTGATAAAACATCTTTAAATAGATCGTGCTAAATCATAACGTTAAAAAAAAAAAAAAAAAAAAAAAAAAAATTTATAAATATTGAGTTATGTAAGTTGAGAACAATCATGTCTGTAAATAATTAATGTGAAATCCTCTTTAAGATTAGAAACTTTAAAGTTAGTATGAGTTTTCCATGGAATCTTTTCATCAAGAAATATTCTTAAAAACTTCGCGACGGTTTCTCTTTCTGTTTAAATTTTATTAAATAAATAGTTTTTTTTTTTTTTAAAGATGTTTTGTTTGTAACTTGTGTTTTATTCTCGAAAACTTCTTTGGTGCTTTAATAACCCAAAAACAGTTTATGAATTAATTACCAAGTCTTTTTTCACAACCAAGAAAGTTTGAACCATTTACTGAGTAAAATCTTTTAATATTTATCACGCAAAAATGTTTGCATTATCTTTAAAGCTAATATCCTTCCGATTGAGAAGCGATAATTGAAACTTGAACATTTCGAGATTTTTTCTTTTACGTGCGTTTATTTATTGATTCTATTTGTTTTGAAATTTATATATTGACCAATTTAAATTTATTCTTCAATAATTATATTCAGTCAATCTAATCGTTTCACTTATACATGTACCAATAAGTTTACATGAAAAACTTTTGAAAAAACATCTAAACATTTTTCAATTTTTCTAACTTAAAAAGTTTTACAATACGATGAATTTTAAACTTAAAAGGTTCCTACCTTTTTTTATTTTACAAATAAAACCAAATTTGCTATCACAAACGTGGTCATTCCAACCAGAAGAATTTGTTTCCACGCAGCTCTCTCTTCCTAATAGATTATCAGGCTGACCCTGCCTCCAATTGGAAAATAATGAAGCTGTTTTATCAGACCACACAAATACTCTCTGATGAGCATTGAGACCTTATAAAAGAAATAAAAATTTTGGAAAACATTTTACAGAAAAATATCTAAAAATTTAAAAATAAAATCTAATTACCAATCCAAAAATGTTGGTTTTTCATTTTCTCATTATTAAGATTATCTACAATAAATACGTTTTCTGCTTGATCTGCTACACTAAGCAAATTTCCTCCATTATTTAAACACCATAAAAGAGAATCTAACCAATCTTTTCCAGGTTGAGTAACATTTATGCTGTAGAAAAAGTAGCAATAATTTCCATAATTAATCCAGTCTTTAGGGCAAGTTCCATCAAAAACTGCTTTAAAAGAAAAAAAAAATAATAATCAAACATAAACAAAACTTCTATTTTAGAATAGCAAATAAATCTTTTTATTTTTTTTAATATTATAATAAAAATATTCATATAATTGTTATTTTTGTTTATTTATGCATTTTTATGCATCAATCAAAAAAGTGTACTTAAATAAAAAAACAATATAAATAATTTTAATTAAACATTAAAAAAGAATTAAAAGAGTTTTTCTAAATTCTTCTAGTCTCCTAAAAAAAGTTTTAGTTAGAACCTTGTCAAACCAATGCGACATTAACGCTAAGTAAAGATGTTTAAAAAAAAAAAAAAAAGCTTAGTGGGTTTAATAATGAACATTTTTAATAACACTAGCTGTTATTGTTTGCCCCTGGAACGCTCTTATTAGTCAACTCTTCATAAGTTTTGCTGAAGACTTGCGGTTGAAACTGAGGAAGAAAGAGGTTTCAAAAAAACTTAAAATCTTGAAAACGTGTCACATAATCTCATAGAATAGACTTACCTGTGCACTATCTAACAAATTGGATGGATCTATGATTTTATGAAAAAAACTTCTCATAAAATTAGTTTTAGCATGGTGGGCCATCCGGGCCAGCTGTCACTTGCCATATAGCCAAATAGCCAACCATAGGTGGATGCGAAGTGTCGTAAGATGGATGCGAAGTGTCTTTGATGTATTGCACTCAATATAATATTAGTTCAAAAATGAACAGAAGTCTGGTGTTCTCCGCGCGCTTGTAAGGCTTGCATTAACGCTCATCGAGCCGTGCAAAATAATTTGCGTGGGATGAAAAAAATATTCTTAAGGCAGAGTGGGTTGCATTTACCCTAAGTTGACAAAAATATAGCTGTTATGTGTGTTTCAAACCACTCGACCACTGTTAGAGTATTAACAGAAAAGCAAACAATCTACCCCACAATAAAATAAAATGTCAAATGACGTGCCGACATTGTCAATCTTCAAGTGCACATCACAATCAAATCAAGAATTTTAATAACAAAAGTTTAACAAACATAAAAAAAACATTCACAGATCCTCAGAGTACCTCTAGGAACCCGGCCAAACTTGCCAAGCGCGCTGGAGTTGCCCGCAAATCAGCATTAGTCTTTATCTGATATCAAGCCATCACGCATCTTTTAAAAAAATATTTCAACCGGGCGAAGAGGATTGCCCCTACTGGAGGGTTTTAAATAAATATCATCAGCAAGATATTCTCGTAAAGATTATCTTGCTGATGTTATTTATTTCAAAGGTTATGCTAATGTACACAAAAAAAGAGAATAAATTATAACTCTCCTAACAATAAACAGCCGCTTCGTATACACACGCGGCCTCACTAAAGCATCTGCTGCAAAAACTGCCAAAGCTCTTACTAATATTTTAAAACAAAACAAAGAAGATATTAGCAAAGACGTAGTTGGGCCGATTCTAGCCATTAGAGGCATCAAAAGGTCTGATTTTAGAGAATATTTGTTTCCTTTCTAAAATCACTTGGCATTAAAGAAAAAAAAAAAGGACAGCTTGACACATATGGTTAGTTAGTAAACTTTTCACATTTCAAAGAAATCATTTCTGATGGCTCTTCAAGATCTCGTTGAAAGTAACAACTCAAGCCATTCACGAGCTTTTAATGCTGCTGGGAGTAAGAAGAGAAAGAGTAAAAATCCATTGTTGAACAAGCTACCGCTCTAACAGCTCCTCGTACTACAAAAAGAGTTGTTAAACCTCAAAACCCTACAAGAAGCTAAAGCAATAAGAAAAAACTCTGCCGACCTGAAATAATGTAGGGCGTAAAAAGTTTTTTGTACTTATAAAAAATTCAGACGTGAAAAAAAAAAAGCGTGAGTAAACATTTACAAAAAATTTTCTCTACTCCTAGGGGGGATGGTCCGTAGCCTTTGTGCCTTAGGGGAAGATGTTTCCTTTTTGTAAAAACAGAGGAAATATTTTTTTGTACCTGTAAAAAGTATAGATGTTATAGCTTTTTTTACATGTGAGGCAAAGACTTACATAGTGATGTAAAAGGTTTTTATCCTCTTTTTTATCAAAGTGGATGGCCCTTTTTTGGTTAAAAACTCTTCTCAGCAGTAAAAGCAAAATCTCCATTGAAAACTTTAAAAGGAAAAAGCAATGACTTTAAATTATAAAACTTCAATATATGCCTTAAATTTAAAAACATTCTCTTAAACCTCAGGAGGTGGGGTTGGTCCAATTACGACGTTATTGAATAGAATTATTATAATTTTAGGATCTCATCTTTAATGAAAACGTATTAACAGGTATTAACAGTTCCATATCGTTAGTTATTTTTAATACTGTTAGAACTCGTATACTTAATTAAGTAATATTTTGATATAAGTAAAAAAATAAAATAAATTCATACAGTTTACTATTGTGATACACAAATATATATATATATATATATATATATATATATATATATATATATATATATATATATATATATATATATATATATATATATATATATATATATATATATATATATATAATATATATATATATATATATATATATATATATATATATATATATATATATATATATATATATATATATATATATATATATATATATATATATATATATATAAACAAAGAGTATACACAAAAGAGTTTTCATCGTCAGAAGAAAAAAAAAAGTTTAAAAATGGTGAAAACGTTTTTCAAAATCATGCAGGTCTTTATCACTACAAAAATTGTTATAATATACTGCATAGAGTAAATGAGAGTTTTGATCAAATAAAACAAAATTTTTTAAAGACCTTTATTTGTCGAAGCTTGAGCTGGTGTGGTTACAGTTGTTGTTGTTAAACCTACAAAAAAATAAAAGAAGTTTTACATCTTTGTTTATAGTATTAAAACTATTAAACAAGTAAAAAAATTATTATTCAGTTTATGCTGGTAATTCTATCAAATTACCTAGGTAATTAAACAATGCTCTTTTTTATTAAAAATGATATATTATATATATTTCTCAATTCTGATTGATTGCTTGATTGTTTTTTCCCAGTTAACAGCCGTTGTCCTAGAACTTTGAAATTTAGTATGGATGATCCCCATGACCCAGGCAGTAAAATAGGCTGTGTTAAGTTGACCATGGAGGTCACTAAAGGCCACTAGAAAAGTGGCCTCTAGTGACCTAACCCAGAAATGACCATTTGAAAGCTCCACTCGCGGGAGCTTTCAAATGGTCATTTCTGGGTTAGGCGAGCCGGAAAAAGTTTTACATGTGTAATGCAGAGTTGTTCCTCGCCCTCAGGGGTTGGGGTGCGGACGATCTCGGGTGTGACCTCAGGGGTCGCTGGAGGTCGGAATGGTCTGGGAGACGGGTTGAGCGTTTCCTATGATGCGAATTTTGTTGGTTTCTGTTGTGTTCCATGGATTGCTGTTGCCTGTTTCGTTATTTTCCAGAGTTTTATGGAATGTTCCACGTTTTTCCGGAGTGGGCCAGAATTTTCCAGAGTGGTCCGCAGTTTTTAGGAATGTTCTATAGTGCACAGTGTGGGTGTGCTATCACCTTCCAGAGCATTCGGGGGCTTTCCGGAGTATTCCGTGGTACTCTTTGGCTCCGTCTGGAGCCTTCTATGGGGATGTAGGTGGATCACTGGAGATCTCACAAAGCTATGTTTTTACCGGGTTGCTGAAGTGAACACAATTTGCGGGGTTGCAGTTCTGGGAGTCAGTTCGGAGGTCGGTTTGCTCTTTGCATGTTGCTGTGGCGAACGGTTGGGGAAATATTGTTTTTTGGTGGTAGCTAATTCATTTTTGGTTTTTTTATTTTGTAGTGGTCAACTTGGTTCAGGGGCATTATTCTTTTCAAATGAGTATTGTGTATGAATAAATATATATACATATATATATATATATATATATATATATATATATATATATATATATATATATATATATATATATATATATATATATATATATATATATATATATATATATATATATATATATATATATATATATATATATATATATATATATATATATATATATAAGTTGTGTGTACGGTGTATATAAAATCCCCGGATGGAAGAACTTTTAGCGTTATGTACCAAGAGGCTCTGCAGCGGATTTTTTATAGTACCTAGGATTGCGAGTTTTTTGGTCAAGTAATTGATTTTTGGAGGGTGGGTTATCTTTGTACACCATCAACTTTGATTTGTTTTATCGGTGGTAAGCGACGCGAGCACCTCTGCTAGTAAGTAATAAAACCAAATATTTAAAAAAGGCATGCTTTTTAAAGTAGAGCATCAAACGAGCAATGCTTTTTTAAGTAGACCATCAAAAAAAAATATACATGTTTATGTTTATTTTCCAATTATAATTATTTTGTACCTTTTAAGTACAAATGTAAATTTTATTTAATATTTCAAATTGAATATTTTAAATGTAATATAAAGTATTCCAACAAAACTTGGTTAGGATTTCTATGAAATCAACGACCCCCAATTTTGTATTATAAACTTTAATTGTTTTCTTGAACTTTAATTGCTTTCTTGAACTTTAGATAAGTTCTCTCTCTCTTTATATATATCAGTGGCAGAACTACCATATCGCAAAACCCGCAATGCGGTAAGGGGGGGGGGGAGGTCCAGAGTTGTTGGGGGCCCATATATTTTAAAGGAACTGTAGTATTAAATATTAAATATATATATATATATATATATATATATATATATATATATATATATATATATATATATATATATATATATATATATATATATATATATATATATATATATATATATATATATATATATATATATATATATAATCATTATTTATTTTAATGCAGCAAAATCTAAAAGTATAATTTTGTTATAAAATGTTAACAATTTTTAAAATATTTATATAATTTTGCTAACAAAATAAAATATGGACAATAAATAAAACTGTAAAAAAAAAAATACTTTTTAAAAATATAAAAAAACAATTTTTAATTCAGTACAAAAAATACATAAAAAATAAGTTATGTAAAACAACTTTTTGTAAAAAATTTCTTGTGGTATTAAGCTAAAAGTTATCTAAATTAAATACAAAACATTGACTTAGTTCCTGATCCAGGATTTTATAATATTTTTCATTTTGTTTTATAAAGGCACTTAAACTAGTGAATAATACAAAAATATAATTAAAATTTGACGGGCAAATACAAATTTTTGATAAAAAAAAAATACTTTGGTTAAAAATCTTGCTGCTTCAGGCACTAATTCTAAGTATAATAAACAACTGCTTTAAACTTGAACGTTTAATTATTACTAAACTTTAAGATAAAAATGTTTTGCTTTATCAAATGAAAAGAAACTATGAAATATATTAAAAGTAGCTAGAAAAAAAATTCTTTATAATTTATATTACAAAAGTAAAATATTTTTTTTCATAGTTACTAGTTACTAATTATTTTCGCAATTACTTTTAATTGTATTAACGGAAAAGCATGATTTTTTGATTATTTTCATTTTATTATTTGAAAAAACTTTTCGTTAAAACCATTGCTTGAAAAGCACTTAATATTAAAATTGTAATATTTCATGAATCTTTGGATGTTTAAACTAAATTGTTGTGTGAAATTTTTCTCTATGTAAGAATGAGTTTAGAAAAATGCGTTTAAAAAACCCAAGTTATTACTTTTTAAAATTATTTATTTATTTATTAATAAAGCTGTGACTGTATTAATACTGCAAGTATGATTTACACACTGAAACAGCCATTCACAAGAGCCATTCACAAAAATAAGTTGCTTAAATTATCGTTCTTTTGTTGATACTTGTCGTTCTTTTGTTGAAACTTGTTTTTGAACTCATTTAAGTTATGAGAATCGACTACTTTATCCGGTAGTTCATTCCATGCGGTTGCTGCTTGATTAAGGATATAGTTTTTTCTGGAAGCACTTTTAGTAAATTCGGTTCTGTATCTAAAGTTTTGTCCACGTGTTTTAATCTGATTATGTATGTATGTTTGTTTGCTCTAAGAAGTTATATCCATGTATGGTTAGATTTATATTATCTATTTTATTGATGATTTTAAAATTTTTTATCAAATTACCTCTTAATCACTGAGTTAAATGTGTTGATAAATTTAAACTCATGAGTCTTTCTTCATATGATATCTTTTTAAGAAAGGGAATTAGCTTAGTTGCTCATTGTGTGACTATATGTGGAACTCGTGCGTTTTTTTAGACTATTATACATTTTGTACATAAAAAGAAAATCGGTGTGCAACTATGTTTTTGAGATGTTTTTTTTTAAAGCTATTTTGTTTTATTTATTGGTGCGACCTATGGATAGAAATTGATGCTTTACTACCTCAACCATATTTAAAAAGGCACAACATTTATCTTGTTTTTGTAATCAAGTAACAAGACATACTTTCTTCTTCATTTTAATTTGCCGCTGGAAAACATAGCGTTTGTACGAGATATTCTTTCTTGGCTTGATCAAGATTTTTAAACACATGATATTGTATTGATCGTTATCATTTTTATATAGAGTTTTATAACTTTATTTTACATTTTTTAATTGTAAATGCAACACTAATTCCTTTTTTTCGTAAACCTTCTGTAACTAATGTTATTTAAACAAAATACACGAATAATCATATCTCTTTAAACTTATTTGCAACGCCTTCCAAGATCCCAAGATATTGATTATAAAAAACTAAGAAAATTGCAAAAAAATAAAGTTAAATGGTTGCCCGAAAAAAACCGGCTAGTAGAAATCATACTTTTTTTTAAAGACTTTTCTTTAAAAAGGAATTAAGTGTGACTTGGCAAGGCAAAGAACAAGATTGTTAACCTTGCCTGCCAAGTGGTCTTTTAACAGCAAAGGATTGTTTCGGCAGCAATTAGTGCAAAGTGGTTTTTAGAGTTAGGTTGGTGGTGTAGTTATTTTTGGAAACACATAATATTTTCTGATATTATATAGGGTAGTATAATGTGTACTTTACTAAAACGTCTTATGCTATATGATCTGTTTTCGTTTTTTTATCGATGTAACATTATTTTTTTAATCGTTTGTGTTGATAGACAGCTAGACTGATCTATCTAATTGTGTATATTGTTAATAATAAATTGTGCGTAGTTTTATTATTGAAACATACTGCTATTAATTATTCACTACAAGGCAGCATTTTTCTCCATAAATAATTTTTTTTATCTTTATTTAATTTTTCATCCAAATTAATGTCAATACTTAAGCTTTTTGGAACATGTTTTATAGTTGCCTGAACTAATCAATAAATATTTTTAACAACTGCAATATCACAAAAGGTTACCAAAAACAGCTAAACTGATAAGAGATGTATTTTTTTTTCTTTTATATTATCATATAGTGCAGACCACTATGTACCTTCGTGTGCACAAACATGGTACAAGCAAACATTTTTATTAATTAAGTTCTTTGTATGACAAAGATTTGAAAAATGACAGGTGTCAGTTAATTTTCATTTTTTATGTCACGTGGTAAAACGTAATTGGTTCCAATATTGAGATCAATTACGTCTTACCACGTAGTTATTGCAATTTGCTTGTTGCTATTGCAATAGCAACAACAACAAAAAAAACTACAAAAATTAAATTTTTTTTAATTGCAATTAAATGAGCACAACTCAAGTATTTAAAAAAATATATAAAAAGCATATGTTGAAAATTTTTGTTTTAAGAGATATACGGGTTAATAAATTTTTGTTCAACCGGGGGTAAACTCGATCTGTGTGATTTTAAATTATTATCCAAATATTATTTTGAACACTTTACATTTACATTTTTTACATTTTTTTTAATAATAATTTAATAAACAAT